CTCAGCCGTTTGTTATCTGTGCTCCGCAGTCGCCCAGAGAGAGTGATAGTGACACGTGGAGGGTCCCAGAGCACCCAGCCGCTGGCTCTCCAACACGCTGCCATTATTTCCTTCCTTCCTTCCTTCCTTCCTTCCTTCCTTCCTTCCTTCCTTCCTTCCTTCCTTCCTTCCTCTTTTCTTTTTGTTATTTGAAGGCAGCGTCTCAATGCAAAGCTCTGGTTGTCCTGGGACTCCCTCTCTAGACCAGGTGGCCTTGAACTGGGCGAGCACCAGGCCTCCAGGCCAGTGCGCTATTTCTGAACTTCCCGCTCTCAGCGCAGGCTCTGCCCTCGCTCGCTCGCTCGCTCCCTCTTGTGTGTCCTGGCGCCGAGCCCAGGCTAAGTGCTTAGGAAGCACTCTGCGCGGTCCTCACCGACTAGGAGGACTAGACCTTTAGGAGTCGGTCATCCTGGCCAGTTCCCGTTCTGGGAGCCCCACCCTCTGCTCCCTGTTTACCTCTTTCGAGGCCTTGTCATCTCAGCCCTGGATCCCCCGAGCCTCCCTGTGTCCCTGGGTTTCAACAAAGTTCATGCAGGAAGGCTGCCCCGGAAATGGCTTTCAAGTTGGGACAGAAGCCGTAAAAAGTGCGAGGGCGGCTGAGGAGGGCTGGGTCTGCGGGCCAGGACGCCCCACCCAGCCTCGGGGACAGCTGCGAGACTCTGTCACTGCCCCTCGGCGCCCCCAGCTCCGGGCGACCCTGTGATCGCTGTGCCCCACACGCTTCCTGGCGTCTGACACCCTCTGAGGGGCGGGGCTCGCTCTTCCGCTTTACTTCCTCCTTTCTCACGCTCTCCTGTGGGCCACTCGGGGGAAGGGGCTCCTGGGGCGTTCTGGGGGCCAAGCCCCCTGCTCCAGATGGTGACACCGGGCGCTGGTGAAGCTTCGTCAGCCTCAGTCTCCTCATCTGTGAGACAGAAAGGGCACTGCCTATGTCTCGGCCACAGAAAACCAGGCAACTGGCACAGCCTTGGGGACAGTGGGTGCCGGAAGCGGCTGGAACTCCAGCTTCAGAAATCGACACCACGCCCAGGGCAGAGGAGGAGGCGGTACCCCACTCCTCAGCGGGAGACGGGGGCAGTGGGAAGAGTCTGGGAGCAGGGGTGACCCAGTCCCTCGTGGAGAGGCTGGGAGCTGAGTGCGCTGGGAGACACCGTGCCGTTTAGAAACTCGGAGAAACCCAGTCCTTCAAAAACTGGGGACCCCACCTAGGGGTTGCACACACCCAAATACTGGGCCGCGCCCACTTTGTTCCGGCTTCAGGGCGGAGTCGGAGGCTGGCGCGCACAGGGCACTGTTTTGGATGGGCAGGGCCTCCCCGCAGGCGGGCGGGCGCGCGCGGGGTTGG